GATGTGGTTTTCAACTCCACTTTTTAAGAAACTTTGCCTCGGGGCTTGAAAAATGGTACTGTACCTCTCCTTCTCTAAACGTCTTTCCCTCTGTGGCGTTATCTGTCCATCTGTCAAAGGCAAATATGCATATGCATGCAAGCGCTTGTCACAGGATGATGCACAACGTAACAAAAAGAAACCTTCGTTCGCTATAAGAGGAGCAGATAAAATGTTAACGCTGCAGCTTTAACAATTTATACCTCTGCCTTGCCTCAGCTGACACTGAGCTCAGCAAGTCAGGAGACGTGTTGGGCTTACACACATCAGTGCCTCCTCGAGTTTCATAATGTATCTGACTTAACAGGCCTTGGTGAATTCAACTTGACTTATTAGCATTATTGTTAAAATAATACATATCCTAATGGTGTTATTTTGTTATGATAGTTCAGTTGCGCCCGTCTAAGCAGTAAAAATGCATTTAATTGCTAGAAATCCTATTTATATAATCCAATTCAGTATTTTCTCCACTAATGCTGTCTTGGTTTTGTGTCAGATTGGATTTCTGAACCACCACCAATCTGATGTTATTGGAAATGGCTGGACATGATGAGGCTGTCCTGCTTGTTTTTCATCAGCGCTGTAGGACTAAGCTTGATAAATACGGGTCGTGAATCACAGATTTATTCTTACACTACCCCGGGCTTGCCATACATTTTCACACTCGATAATGCTGTAAACCAGTCACTGCAGAGTGTGGTGGGAGGACCCTTGAGCCTGCGAGTTCTAATCCTCCAGTCCGCCCCCACACACCTCAGAAGGAAGGAAGAACTCCACACAGGCAACCACTGTGACAAACACCAACATGATAACTGTGCTTTTTGAAATTAACCTTTTTTTTTTTTGTCTTTCTCACACGCCCCTGCAGGGAAGGCAGCAGCAGCGAGGTGCCAATCCTGGTGGTGGGCAACAAGAGGGACCTGCAGCGGCAGCGCTTCATGCCTCGCAGGGCGGTGTCGGTCCTGGTGAAGAAGACCTGGAAGTGCGGTTATGTGGAGTGCTCAGCCAAGTTCAACTGGCACGTGGTCCTGCTCTTCAAGGAGCTGCTGGGCATCGCCGTGGCACGCGGCATGCGCCAGAACCACACCTCCATCCGGCTGCAGGGGGCGCTACAGAGGAATCGCTGCACCATCATGTGACCCTGAGAACTCCCTCCGCCCTTCTCGACCCAGGAGAGGTGGAGCGGCACCGGAGAAAAGGACTTTTTATCTAAATGGCTGGAAAAATACCCCGTGGCCTCCTGCTTTACTGAGCTGTTTTTTCATAATGAGGTTTATTAGACTCTTGCGCTGTATAAGACACTAAAAATTTCACACATGGTCATCCAACCACTTCCTAGTCAAATTCTGCCAGTTGTGTAGAAACGAGGAATGAGGTAGAAGCAGGTAAATAAAAACCAATACAATTAGCAGAGCACAGTTATTTTTATCACATCAACCAGACAGTTAAATATTTACGGCTGTGCTTCCGAAAATAACACAGCAGCAGGTCTGCAGCTGGGCCTGACAGGATGGAAGCTGTGTTCATGAGACTCAAAACGGAGAGACAGCAATATCATCGAGTCTTCCTTTTGAATTTGTCACATTCAGTAACATCAACAGCAGAAGCTCATACCTGACACATTTGGATTTACTTAAGGGTATGAAAGGAAAATGGTCTTGGAATAGTGGAGAGTAAAGATTATCGTGAAATGTACATAGATAGTAGATGGTGTCTAATTTTAGATTCTGAGAAGTAGCCTGCATTTTTTTCCCCTTCCCCTGTCCCTGTTACAAATTTGGCCTCCGGTTAAAGCTGTTTGTTCCAAGGAAGGCTGTTTTAAGGTTGTCTTGCAGCAGAAAATACTGCAGTCCCTTATCATGATGTACTGTAGGACTTTAATCTGCTCCCTCCCCTCACTCAGTGTCTGTTTCTGATGAATACATTAAATCCAGGGAACCGGGGACCTGCAGGAGGCTGCAGAGCCTGAAACGAGAACCTGTACACGCAATGTGGTTGTTTGTGTGTCTGTCTTTGTGTGTGTGTGTGAGTGAGTGAGTGAGTGAGTGAGCTAGAGTAAGTGTGGGAGACAGAAAGATACAGGTTTGATAGCTGACATTCAGGCAAGCAAAGGACAGACATGGTAAGATAAGAGACGGATGTTGAAGCTTTGGATTAGAAAGGAGCAATAAAATCCCAAAGGGATGTCCTGACTGACTATATGTAACACAATATTATATTAAAAATGCCTCACATACGGGAGATGTAATCCTCTCACGCTCAGATATCCTGCAGAAGTAAGACAGTAGAGCTCAAAGACTTCCACAAAACGCCTCATGAGTGCATCACAGACACAAAAGGATCATTAATAAAGCTTTCATACCAATATCTGAATACTATTTAATTGGTAATGTTGTGAGATTAACAGTTGCTTTTTCATTTAATTAGGCCAAGGTAGGTTCTTTGTGAATATGGCTGCACTGACAGTAAGCAGACCTATTGTATATAAGAGTGATTCATAGAGTAATTGAATTGCATGCTTTTGTTGGTAGAGCCAACGGGTCAGGGTTTAATTGCACTGATGTGAAAATGTGATATTGTGTTTAATTTTTGTAATACATGGTTTTCTGACACAGTAATGAGCAGCTGAGTGGAGTGAATGTGGTCGTTTTTCACTGGCATGTGAGAGCACAAGCTCATGATTCTCAAGATGTAGTGTTGAACCCATCAATCAGGACAGATGGCTGTGTTAGTTTCCCTGTTTGGTTTGTTTTTCTAGTTCAAAAAAAAAAAAGAGAAATATGTAGCAGAGATACACTAGAAAGCAAATGTGTGTAGCATGAGTACTCATCGGTTTGTTTGTGGGCGCATTTTCAAATAAAAAGGGCTACAGTTTTTTATCAGAAACATTACTTGTATTTATTTTTATGGTGTTGGTACTGTGAGTAATTTTGTTTATTCTGACACATGATGAATTATTAAATGCATTTGAGAACAGCAACCTGGCTGTGGTCACTTTTCAGTCATGTGTAGCAGCTGCAACACGTTCAGAACCTTTTTGACAACATTGCCATCTTGTGGTACAGTGATGTTATCAGGAGCCAGATCAGAGGCAGACGACCGATCAGCCTCCAGTTGTTGCATTTCTGCTTTAGATATGTGCTACAAAAACTAGATAATCATCTCTCCTGTGTTTAAACTGACCCGCTTTCATTTGAGGTGGCAGTGTGGTAATGATAAAAAATGTTGAAACTAATTAGAGTAATTATCTCTGCACTTACCTTGACACTGCTTTGCAAGTGTAGCCTGATGGATATCTGACTGTAGGCAGATCTATGCATTTGCATGTGTGCTGCAAATTCCCAAAGATGTGTCAGTCAGGTTGTGTTTGTTTTGATGAATCACATTTTTTATTTGGGGATGTGCACCATACAGTATGCAATCAACCAAAATAAGGAAGTGAAAAAAAAAAAAGCAACATTTTGACACTAGATGCCCTCGACAGAACAGAGTGTTAAGATCTGGTGATAATGCAGGAAACCACAGGCGGTGACTGTGGGGACAGTTGCTCTTTCACACATTGGTCATGTAGTTAATTTGATCCTAATGTGACTCACACTGCCTCCATATTCCACAAACAAGGGTCAATCAGTTTGTTGTCATTTTGTTTTTCAACATTTCTTAGAGAAAATGCAGCACGTATGCATGATGTATACGAAATATTCAGCAACAACGCAGGAAACTGCAGGCAGTGGCTATAGAGCTGGTTACAAACTTTCAGACATCGGTCCAATCGGTAATGTGGTTAATTTGACCTCTAACGATCAAATTCCCATTTAGATGTCAGTCGGTTTGTGGTCATTTTATTTCATGGCATTTTGGTGGCAATATGCAACATTTATATTACATGTATATGGAGAGTTCATTTGCAAAAACATACAACTCCATTTTTGTAGATTTTCAGAAAACTTATTTTTGTTGTTTGCTTGAGATCATATCAATCAAACTGAAGTTGAGTAGATTTGACTCTGTACAAATGACATGACAAAAACAGAGATAACTTGATTGATATTGTCTCAGGTAAACGATGGAAAAAAGGGTTTTCTTAAGGTTTGTAAAGATGGAGTTATCTGTTTTTGCAAATGAACTACATATATATTCAGGAAACTACAGTTGTGGCTCTGGGGTCAGTTGCAAACTTTCAGACTTTGGTTAAATTAGTGATGTGGTTCATTTGACCCCTAATTGACCCCAAATTTCCCGACACTATGTGGTTCAATAAACTTTTTCACAAGTGAGAGGATGGCAGACATCTTTCACCACCTGTTACCAGTGAGTGTGTTTGTCTACACTTTAAAGGTTAATAACAGCTCACGTGTCATTAATAACATTAATGATTAACCTGGTTGTGCTGGTGACAGTCAAGCAGCCGTTATTAACACAAACCTGCTTTTTCCTGCTGTGACATGATTAAATGTGCGCCGTGAAGGACCTCTGACCTGCGTCTGTCCTCTCACCTGACCAGCAGCAGCGGGTCTGGGACCAGCAGCAGAACCGCATGTCAAATGTTTAGGAATGTTTAGATAACAACGTCACGTGGTGCGGGTCTGGACCATAGACCGGAGCGGATAGAGCGGTCATCCGGTCGGTCCGCACCGCAGGACGGGTCAGGTCAGCGGCTGCTCCCTCCCCAGACTGCTGCCACACACTGTTTGATCTCCGTGAAAACCCCCCGTCAGGTCAATGGCAGCTTCATCACGTTAACAGGAGACCATGTGAGCAGCTTCCCTTCTACCCAGCGCAGCTCTGTGCTCTGGATCCTCTGCAGTCTGCATCAGCAAAGTGTCTTGGCATCACTTCTCGTCCTTCCTCCGGTGTCCATTCCAGCGTCATGTGAGCGGGGTTCACGGTGGTTCCTCTCGCCCCCTCACACCGGACCCTCCTCCGTCAAGCATCCATTCGCCGGTGCCGACGTCCCTCGCCCCGGTAGTCCCGGTGGGGTAGTGTCCCTGTCTCCGCTGGCCCCGGTTTATCCTGCACCCTTCGGCGTGCGGCGGAGCGGAGGATGAGCGAGCAAGGGAAGGGCTCGGCATCCGCCTCTGCCGCGGCCCCGGCACCGGGGTCGGATACTTACAAAGGCTGGCTTTTTAAATGGACCAACTATTTGAAGGGCTACCAGCGGCGATGGTTTGTCCTCAGCAACGGCCTGCTGTCGTATTACAGGTAAATATCGCAGACGTGGCGGGTGTTGAAGCGCTGAATAGACGCCGCTCGGACGCACAGAGTCGTATTGGTGTGTCGGCGCATCATTACAGCTGGCTGCTCAGCTGGCTAGCAGCAGGCTAAAGCTAGCTGTCAAACGGACACAGTCAGCTGTTTACTCCGAGCTGACGGCGACAAAACGTTGTGCTTTAACTCACCGTGTGTCGCAGACAGACAGAAACACACGGAGAGACACGTACGGCAGCATGTCTTCTAACTTAACTCAATAAAGTGTAAGAAATTCAATTACAGCCAGGTACCGACGTTAGCTAGCAGACGGAGCTAGCCCGCTAGCCTCCTGTCAGGAGCTGTCAGGAGGATGGAGATCCAGCTGTCTGCTCCTCTGGGACACTAACACGACAGCATGCCCTGCTATTTTAACGTGTTCTGAATAAGTCCTGACTATTACTTCTTCTGTCAATGTCACTGTTTCAAATGTTTACCGCCTTTATTACTTTTCCAAGTGGGTCCATTCATCGCATTTGCTCACGTTACTGAGCCGAGCTGCTCGGTGGGATCCCTGTAAGGAGATACGTAGCAAGAGATGGTCGCTATCATTGTCATCCTGTCTTCACTCTGATCACACAGTTGCTGGATGCGAGCTGGAGTTAGCTCTGCGACAGCCAAACACCTGTGGCTCAGGTGCTTCTAGCAAGGGAGTCGTGTTTCCTGCAGGTGTGGGTGTTCAGGCTCAGCGGGGAAACAGGGATGGATCATAAAGCATGTCAGAGAGCTGGCTGACAAATGTTCAGCACAGAGGAGTCCTGCATGTTGTACTGTAATAGCTCATAAGGAAATTCATAATCAAATGTCTAAGATGAATCCAAACCAAAAAAACTATTACAATGCATTCAGTGTCATTTCAGTGTTAACACAACCTTGCTTGCAGGTGAATTTACATTCTCATGGTCTAGTCTGAGGATATTCAGTCTTGACTGTGGGAACCATCTGTGAGGTAAAATCAGTTCAAGGTCTGGCATTTTCACCTGAGCCGGCTTCATTTGCTGAGTAAGATGTGGTTTGAAGTGTTCAAAAAGCTGATAAGTCGACCTTGAGCTGATAATATTTTGCCTCTTTGCTTGGCTCGTGCATGTTGATCCAGTTTGCTCGCTGCCACTTGACTGCTTTTGTCAACACTGACATTCTCTGCTTTATCACCTTCTAGGTCACTCTGGCCTTGGTGAAGTTTAAACAAAGTGTTCATATTGTCCAGAATATCAACCGAACGAAGATGTGCACTTTTTAGTCCACATAAATGGAGAGACAAGAGTATTTGCTGCAACAGTTGTGCAGCCGGTCTGACCCAGTTCTCCTAATTAAATGGTTCACAGCAGAATGAAGGTGCACCCAGCGGAGTTAACCTTCCTCTGCTAACAGTGCTGGAAGTCAGAGCTGTGTCTGTGTAGTTTAAATGAGAAGTAAATCAGAAATAGTTAAAAAAGTATAGTTGAAAAACTTCTTGCTTAATGTGTTAAAGCAAACTGTAATTGCTTGCAGTGATAAAACAGTGTGACACTAAGCTGATCCCTCGAGAGTAATTGTCTTTTTAATCGTTATCATTCTTGTCAATATGGAGGTTTTGTTCCTCTGACTGCATGGCAAAGTTTTGAGTCGTGATGCTTCCCTGCTGCTCCAGCACTCATAAATGCAAAACAGATTTCCAGATTGAAATGAGAACATTCCTCCCTGGTCATGTTTGCAGAAATCATCTGATCCAAACCCATTTCAAGCCCATTTCATGCTACAGTCTTGTCACAACGCTTCAGTGCTACATTCTCTCAGGCAGCCCAACTGTCTTATGTTGTCAACAAAGTGTTATTTGACAGAAGCGTACAGTAGCCAGAGCAGTACTCCTGCCTGGGCTTGTGGTGAAAGGAAACACGCCTGTTGCCTCTACCCTATTAATAGTCCATTATGTTGTAAGGTGGCTGCTGTCCCCGGAGTAAAGGTAGCCTGTCGACATCCGAGCACGGAGGCAGTAAAGCGCACGAGTCGTCCCCTCCACTGATGTCTTCCTGGCAGATCCACATTGTGTGTGTGTGTGTCTGACTTCGGGCTTTGTGTTCCTTTTGTGTGCGTCTTCCCTGGTCTGCACTTCCATTGTGAGCCGAGTAAAAAGGGAAACAGTCAGACGAAAGTGACAACACGTTAATTGATGTGTCTTCATTGTATGCCAAGTGATAATTGCGTCGCGTCTCAGATGTACATTTTCTGCAGCACATCTTTGTTCTATCTTTGTCCTACAATTTGATGAGGTGAAAAGAAAAACTAATTATTGTCATGATTACGGCTCATTATTTTATTAGCACTAAGATTGAAGGTGACTTGTATGTTTAGGTTGAAGCGTAGAAAGAACCATGCACTCCTCTTTTCAAAGGCTTTGGTATGATTTAGTGGAAAGACCTTTTAAAACTCATTAAAGGCTGTCATGAGAGGATGCATTTTGACACCCAAACGACTTTAGATGAAGTCCAGCAGGCATTGATCAGCTGCTGATTTGCAGTGTTCAATATTTGTTTTCCCTTTGTCAAAGGCTGCTTTATATTTCTTGATAAATCAATAATGACTGACTCTCCAGTTAGAGGGCTAGTCAATAACCCAGGGGATCGCTTTCCTTCCTGAGGCCAGCTGTTGTCAAAGCAAAGGCTTAGTTTGTTAACCTGGAGCTGAGAATCCGGTGGTGGACCTTATTCAATGCTTTGGCTCTGTGAACGGACAGACGCACTCAGCACTTGTGCCTGTTAAATTGTAATGAGTTTTATAGGGATTCAGCATTGCATTTGTTATTGATTACTTTTGGCTCCGACACTGCAAGTCTGGCTGATTTTTATTCCACATCAGCGTTGTGTCTTGTCCTATTTCGTTTAAATCGGGCAAAGAGCCTCGTCGTGCTGTATGGACGTATGACGAGGTCTTTGTCCTCCCTCTCTCGCCGAATTTCCTTCTTTTTTAATTTCTTAATTGACTTTTCCTCCCAGTTTTAATACTCTCGGCGCTACTTACGCACCTCTTAAAGTAAATCCAGCTTTGTGTGTTGGGGAAGATTACAGGGCATTAAAGCTTTGAGTGCTATTGGAGCTGCCATATCAGTGAATCCAGCCTTGTCTTTCATAGTAGACTCGGCCTTCCATGTTTCCTTCTCAGCTGCAGGAGGGTAACTAGATAGTATCAATTTAAGTGCTCACTGGGGGTTCGGCACCGTCTGCGTCCCCGTGGAGGGTCAGGTTGTGGTGGTGCTGCTGCTTGCACACTCAGCTGCTGGGTGCGGGGAGGTGGGGAGGGAGAGCGGTGAGCTAGCCAACCTTGGGCCCAGCTGGAGGGTACAGCCTGGCCTGAATCATGTTTACTAGCCTGGCACATCAGCAGAGTGACTGGAGCAAGAGATGTGGCTGCTGTGATCTAATCTTGTTAATGGGCTCCTCTTTGGTCTTAGCACCCGGCACACAGAGTGTACGTGGTAAAGTGTCTCAGTGTGAGTGCCTGTCGAGGTGGTCGTTGTGTTTTTCTGTGGAAGGTGAGAGTAGCAGAGGGAGCGGGGAGTCCGTCCACATTCTCAACATCTCATCGTTTCAGCCTTTTCAGCAGGTCATGTCATGCTGTCCATGCTGCAGTATCGTTGCTTTGGTTTTCTTGTCTTACGTTTCTTTTCTGTCTTCAGCACTGCACGTTCCTCAGGGTTTCTCTGGCACACTCCCTCCATGTCTTGTGATATTACAGCCCACAGCCACAACAAACCTATCTACATTCTCATGCTCTGGGTACTGAGTCCTATTTCCTCTGCTTGTTTTCTGTATGTCTCTTCATGCTTATGGCCGTCTGATGTGTGTTGTTCACTGGTTGTTGTTCTGTCATTACATGCTCCAGATCGGTGGATTTGTGTTTTATGAGGATGTGTGCACAGGGGACTGACAGGTAACGCACTGCAATTCTCTCCTGGCTCAGCACAACATGCAGGACCCCCCTCTAATGCCCTCAGCTGCCTCCACTCACCTTTGCCTCCTCCTCGACTAGTGCCTTAATGCCCCTGTAGTGCTTATCTCTCTTTCCCAGCTTTTGTAGTTTCCTTGACTGTATAATTTCATGGCCTTTGCATGGCCTCGCCTCCCCATAGGGTAGAAGCGATCGGCGTGGATATCGTCTTACTCATCAGCAGCACATTGAGTTTGGTGACCCATTTACATCCAGGACTCTGCAGCTGAGCTCGCCTGGGCAAGGCTGGAAACTGGGCTGCTCAGGATCCCTGCCCGCCCTCCGCTCTGCTTCGCATGGCCCCAGTGCGGTGTTGTCTGCGCAACTGATGTGCACCGAGTGCCAGCAGAGGAGCGGTACACTGAAGCGCTTGTTCTGGATTGGCATTATAACAAGACTTGACTTCAGCCTGTAGAAGCAGTGTGAGGGAAGTCACTGCCTGGCAGAACTTATAAATACACTTCAACCTCTGACTTAATAAGGCGGCAAACACCTTGTTAGTGTCAGCTGAGACTGGAGCTGGTGGAGAGCTTAGTGCTGCTGAGAGCCAGCTGCTTGTGGCAGCGAGGGCCCACTGAGGATGGATGAATGGATGTTAGCACCCACAAATAAATTCACATGACTGCATGGCTGCATGCTTCCAAAGGGCTGTTTCCAAGGGTATGGATGGGCAGACATGTGACATGGAGGGCTGAGGATGTGTTTGTTTCATTTGAAACAACCTTTGCACATCAGCAGAGTGAGCGGAGCATATGATTTAGCTGATTAGTTGCTGCTCTCTGGTCGCGGCTGTTAATCAGCGAAATCAGCTGTCAGTGGCTGGACTGAAAACTCGCTCTCTCAGGGACATGATGGTCCATCCGTGCCCTGCAGCTTAGCTTGCCTGACCGTGACAAAATGCCAGACAGCCTGCTTTCTTCTACCACAGAGTTCAAACTGCAGCGTTCCTTTTCAGATTTCTCTTTTTGCAGTTAATCAAATTAGTTGTAGTAACACAAGACTTATTTAAAAACTTGTCATGGTGTAGACTGACTGAACTCATAATCCTTCTACTTGGTAAATTCTTCTGTATATGTTTTACAAGATGTCTTTTATGCAGCCCCCGATTTACTGAAAAATAGAATTGAAACAGATATACAGTATGTGCAGTATATACAAAGACGTACACAGTGCGTGTATGCATAGACACAACACTCTGTTCCCCTTTGCTCTTTGTTCTAACCTCTTGCCCTGCTGCTTTGGCTCTGTCTCCGTACTATCGCTGTCTCTTTTTTTTTACCACCTCTCACACTCTGTTCTCTCTTTGTTCACGCTGTTATTCATTGTTTGGTTGTGTTCACTACAGAGGCTTGGAGCCAGACAATGGCCTTGTTATCTAGACTACTGTGGCCACTGAATGTGCAACGGTTGGTCTTAGTGGAGGCTACCCAGACACCCACAGTTCAGCACACTCACAGCAGGGCAGGCAGGTTTTTGTTGAGTGAATTAGAAGTTTAAACCATCCCATTTGTTTTACGTTAGCCGTTGCAGTTATAGGTTTCATGAATGGATGTGCTCAGTGAAGTGACCGTGTACTTCCAGTGTTGCTTGGCTTTCAAAGTGACTGATGTGATCATTCTGGCAGTCCTCTGTCCCTCTCTACCTCCCTGCTTGTGCTCAGTGTTCATAAGAATGTCAGATGCACTATCCAACCTGCAACCTTGCTGAATGGTATGAATCATTTGCAATGCTATGTTTTTGAATGGACTGCTGGTGATGACATTGAACTCATGTCCAGTATCAGTGTCTTCAGCTTTCTCCTCATGGTATTTTGTTGCAGGACACAGGCAGAGATGGCCCATACGTGTCGTGGGACAATAAACTTGGCCACAGCACACATCGACACAGAAGATGCCTGCAATATCGTCCTGAGCAGCGGCGGCCGTACTTACCATCTGAAGGCTAGCACGGAAGTGGAGCGTCAAAGATGGGTCACGGCACTCGAATTGGCCAAAGCTAAAGCCATCCGCATGATGAACGATCAGTCTGGTAAGAGCAGCTGTAGCAAGCAGCTACTTATATGGAAATTTAAGCTCCACAACAAGCTTTTTCTTGTGGAAGTGCAAACTACAGGTGCATAATACAGCCATGAGCTACAAGTGAAAGATGTTAATGATCAGAATCCAGAGGCTGGGTTAATCACAGTCTAGACGAACACATCTTAGGTAAAAGGTGCGTTCACTTCTGATTCAACATTTTCAGATCTTAGGCCAGTCTAGATATTTGGATAGATTTGATGTTCGTCCAGCCACTGGTCCCCAGTGTCCGCTACCATTTGATATTCAGCACAGCTCACGCCCTCCTTCTTTAATGTAATTCACATTCCATTGTGAGCCAGGAGAGGGCAGCGCTGCCTGCTCCGTCAAGTTGGAAAACAAACCGGAGTATGCTAATGGCACTGTGAGAACTGAGCTTCCATTCAGCCTCCTCCTGACAACAGAACACTCTCCTTTCCAAGGGGACTTATTCTTGTATGGTTGTATAAGAAGTTGCTGGTCAAAGGCTGTGGGAAAAGCCTGGGAGGACTATTTTTCTTCACGTTTCACGCTGGCATCATCCCAGATCCGCTCTACCCTCGTCGTTTGCAGACAGGGTCTACAGAGAATGAGACGGGCTATATATTCCTCTGGCCTCCATTTGAAAGGCTGATCACTAAATATAGACAGGGGGAGAATGCGAGCGCTTTTTAGCTCACCACTTCCAGTAAGCTGGAGAGGAATGCTGGTATATTTGTATTTTGAAAAGGTTAAGCTATTGAACAGCCAGCAGTATTTCAATTGTGTGTTTGTGTGTGTATGCACATTTTCAGATGGCCAGTTCAGCTTTGCTGATGTCCAGCTAAAGCTTTTGTGTTCTGTAATGTCTCTTCACACACCCTAGCCTTCTTTGTCTACTTAACCAGTGTTTTGCACATTATGTTTTCCTGGTATGTTACAAGAGAAGTAGTTCATCAGCCAGAGTATGGATGGTATAGACTGACATTTGTTCCATTTTAATAATTACTCGCACAAGCACATGCTGGGAGCCCCTTTTAAGACAATTACATTATATTTGGTGGATCCAATATAATGTAATACCTGTGTTGAGCTGATATTAAAATAAAGCATTTGTCAAAAGCTAGCTGCCTTTTGAAACAGAGTACAACATGTTATTCCTTCAGGTTATCATAAGAAGTTCCATATGTAAGCTCACGGTGTACCATTCGTGTGTTCCTTGTTGCTCAGATAAATTTGCTGCAGGGAACTTGTTAAAATGTGTGATCGGCATGTTTGTTTGAAGGATTGGTTTCCTCTTTTGAACTCTGATGCATGAGGTGTTTTTACACACAAGTCTGTCACCGTCTCAGCAGTTTTCTTCATCCCATTATTCTCAGAAAAACTCTGACATTTAAAGTTGTGAGTCTAGCAAATACAGAAGAACAAAAAATATGCTAACACACACAACAAACAAAACACAAGAGGCTGCAACTTTTAATCCTCAGTTTGTGTGCAGCTCCAAATGCTGGACATCGCGCCTCAGGCTGTCCGTTGGGAAATTAATGTCTCAGGTGCAAGCTGAGACAACCCCGAAGATGTCATCAGAGTTATTGTTTCAAACTATGGAAAGTTCCCTCAAGAGCCATACAGGGATTATACAACGGCTTTCACAGGCTGTGTAATAGTCAGGTAGAGTAACCTGAACTTGGTGTATAAAATTGGTGGAGTCAAGTGCCAATTTAAATGCATGAAGGCACCTGTTTCAGTGTATCCTGTATGTGTGCTGAAAGTCGTCACTCCAGTTTCACTGTTGCTTTCATTACACGTGTTGCAGATTTAACGCTGTCAATCAGGAGCTCTTTCTTAATTCTTTGTTCAAAACCACTGAACTTGAAAGCGCTTGTATTTTCTGCATTCATGCTATAATTGCCTGCTATGCATCAGACTTTCACTTTATAAAGCAGCAAAATGGTGTGTACTTTGTTTAAGGTTTGAGTTAGGGACTGCTTTAAAGCTTCGACAAAGAATCCACGTGCGTCTTTGTGTTTTTGTTACACTTCCTTTCTCGGCTAATCTATCTGTGGGAGGAGGATTTAAGAGAATGTGAGAAAAGAGACCCTGCGTGAATGTGTCTACAGAAATTTAAGTGCCTGCTAATACATTTGCTACTGATAGGAATGCTTTCGTGAATTACCATCTGTTATATGTCAGCGGTGCTTATCAAAATTAAATTCTACTTAATTTTGCAATTAGGGTCTTTAAGAACATCTAATTCTTTGTCCATTTTGTTAGACAAACACGCATCAGTGATAGGATGCCTACATTCATTAACCTGCCCTCCCCTTTCTGTCCGTGGAACAAAGAGCTCTTATCGATTTCCTCAGGAGAGCAGAGTGTAAATCCTGGGCACATGGTGTGTGTCAATAGAGAGCGACGGTATAACTTGATATGCTTGATGCGGCTTGTCGTTTCATTAGCTTCTCCCTGTGACTCTAGAATCTAAAGTTTTTGTCTATCGGCCATGAAATCCGTCCTGTGTGCAGCTGAGCCCTGAATCCATTACTTGAATGAGTGCAGCCTTTGTATTTATAAACCTTCTCGTTAAAAGTGCCTGATCATTTTAATTTAGGCTTCGATTGAGTATCTAACGGCTTAGACATCCAAAGGCTATTCCCATTAAGCTACACTTTCAGCAGGTGGCAGTGTTTCCCCTCACTTCAACGTGACCGCTCTCATGGTTTGTCTGCCTTGTTTTTGCCACTCCTCGTAGAAGTGGGCTCAGCAGCGCGTGGAATCGCTCGTTCCAGTGGTGGCTTGAATATGCGAGCTCTCCTGTTTAAATCTAGCACAAGTAAAAACTTCCTTAGATGGCACATTTTAGTGGAAACTGGAATGCTTTTGTAGAAATTCGTAGATGTTGAAACCGGTCATCCAGTCAGGGGTTTCTCCTGGTCTAGCTGAGCTCACACAGATACAGCTGAGGTAGCAAAGGACCGTGATGTGCTCGGCATGCAAGCTGATGTGTATCTTGAGTCCTCGAACGACAGTGTATTGATCTGTATCAGCGTTTGATCAGTAAGTCAATCTGACAGTCTGTGGGTGATGTTTGCTCAGAATGACTGTTTGAGCAAAACTGGGAGGCGACTCACTTGTAGGGGCTCAGTTATCTCATCCTCTCGCTTGTGTTATTTCTCCGTTATTCGTTTCTTTTATTTTGACATCACAGCTGTTGTTCTCCCTTCACAATAAAAGGTAATGCTCTGTCCGTGGTGCTGAAACCTTCGGAATCTCAAAGAAGTGAGGACAGTTTATGATCACTCCTTTTCAAACATGCTCCATTTGTCATTTCTCCACTTCCCTCTTTCTGCTGCCTCTTGGTCCCAACCACCTTTTTTTTTTTCTTTCTTTTTTTACCCCCCCATACATTCACACCAGCTCTCGCTCTTCCTCCCTCTTCCACTCGCACTCTCGCTCACTGTCTGGTTTTCCCGCCCCCTCCGTCGTTCTCTTTCTTTCTCTCTCTCTCTCCCGTTCTCTCTCAGTAAGCCGTTTACTCTGCTTTTCATCCGGCGGGGTTTTTACTTCTGAATAGAATGACCTTCCTCTTTCTCCAACTCTCCCCTTTTCACCCATTTTCCTTTGCTTAGTACATTGATATTGTCCTGCAAAGTCTGCGGGAAAAATACAAACAAGATAAGGCACAGTCTCCCTCCTGTAAGTACACTGCTTTTCTTCCATTTATGTGCTCAGCAATGTGTGTGCTTGTGATTGTGTGCATACATGTGTTAGTCCAGTTAGGCTTGTAAGGTGCTGCTGTGTATTTATCTGGCATTATATGTGTTTTGCATGATTTGCATTGGATAAATCATAAACAGTGTCTTCAATTTCAATGCTTCAGTGTTAATTTTTATCTGCAATGAAACTGTTAAAGTAAAAAGAAAACTATTTCATCGCTGGAGAATTATTACGAATATAAGGGTGTGACATGTAAACACGTTTCTTCATCACGCTAAATTGGAAACACTGAATCTTAATTAATTCACTGCTGTATATTGTTTAGAGTGATTGGATCTCTCTGAGCAGCGCAGAACGCTCAGATTAGAGGGCAGAGTATATAATGTGTGTGTTAGTTTTATTACACCAGCCTACGTGGCAATAAATTCACACCGAAAACATTCACAGTAGCCCCGGATTCCTTTCCATCAAATGCTTGCATCAATAGATTCATGACTCACAAATGAGTCGGTATGATGGTGGTACAGTGATTTGTCAATAAAGTCATTTTGTTAGTCTTATTCTGTAGAATAAAGTCTCTTTCTTGTCATGGAAAATATTCACAACTACCTTATTACTCAAACTAGAGCCAAAAACTGCATTGCGAGGTATTTTATCAAATGCAAACAAGCAAGGTCTTAAATTACTTTTATTTTAGGATATTATGTAATCTATATTTATATATTTTTAATTCATCTGCAGCTGCTTCATTTGCAGTGGGATCTATCCTGCGTGACGTTTTGCGCTCACGAACGGATGTTATGAAATGACAGATGGTACGCTTATCATCTTCATCAATTAGTTCTACTGCGGCTGTGTATTGAATCGCCTGTCCTTGTTTGTCTTGGCTGTAACGGCGTGTGCCGGCAGAGGTCGATTTGCGAGATCAGCTCAGTCCCCAATGACGAGTGAGCTGGAGACAAAGGGATCAGAGTCAGATTCAGTCTTGTAACCTAACAAACACAACGGAAGCCAAGCTCTTCACGGAGATCATAAACGGTGCCGCTGTCCAAATCGTCAACCAGCCAAAAATGATACACTGGCTGCTCTTCTGTCTGGTTTTGGGGGTTTTTTTTCTCATGTTTTTCTGCCATATTTAACTTCTTTCCACCTTATCTGTCTCTGTAATCTTTTGGGAGTGCACCAGGAAGGTATCCCTGTGAAATCAAATCTTCACTGTCTCATATTGCATAGTGGGCAGTGATTTACTTCCTCTATGAGCTGCACTTCCCTCCCATC